TAGTTTGCTAAAAAGGCAATCCTTTCCTCCGAAGATGTAGTTTCGTGATTGAAATAAGATACAATTATCTTACAAATAATTAGAGATTTAGCCCATGCAAGTCTCACGTTTGACCTCTCTGGCTCAAATATGCTTGCAGCAGCCGAAAAATAGGCACGAAGAAGGTACTTTCTTGTTATCCCGAGCTCTTGCAAATTGTCATTTTCATACCATCTGTGCAATGAATTAAAGAAGGGATTAAGGAATATAGTATAGTTAAATGACTTGAAAATATTGACTGGTTATATATACTGACTCTTCGAATTCATTCCATTCAGTTTCGTGTTGTGCCTGGCATCTATTGTAATCTGATTTTGCAAGATCAAGATAGGCATTGTTACTGATATCTGGCACCCTACAAAGAATAATAGAAGAATGTATAAATTAATTTGTACTATTCAATTCAAGAATAAAAAATGTTAAAATCACTTCAAAGCTTTACATAATTCATAAAGTAAAATAATATTAACACAAAAAAAAAAAAGCTTGGATAGAAACACATTTGTTTTAAGAAATAGCTAATTCAATAAATATATAGTAATCTAAAGAAAAGTGAAAATTAGGCCCCGTAGTTATTATTTTTTCACAGATTGAAATTTGGAGCCTGTATGGGAAGGTTTATAAATACTGGCTAAAAGTTAAACCATTTTTTTATCCACATATTTCGTGAGTCCATTAAATAATATATATTGATTCACTACACAATTATGTTTACTTATGATTCACGAGATGTGAAGTGGTGTATAAGGAATTAGACTTCATAGAAAATTGGGACCGGCACAAAAAGAAATAGGCAACCTCCCGATTTTTGGAGAAATTTTGAGGTTGTTCATTTTTTTGCGAGACTTTAGTCGAATTTGAATAATAACGGGCCAATGAAAAAAAACGTAGCGGCTTTGCCCCTGATGCAGGGCCAATTTCGGACAAATTCCTTAGTTTAGGTTTTCGTTTATGCATTTTTTTTCATTTGTTTGGCAATTTTTGTTTTGGGTATGTCTCAATAAAACAAATTCATATTTGAATTCCGTTTTTTTGGGGATGATCTTGACTATTAGGACTTTCAAATTCAATTAGCTCGATTTTTTCCATTTTTGAAAAAAAAAAATCTTTCTTTATTATTATGTAATTTTTCCAAATTTTCTTATGTTTTTTTCGCTATATAAAGCATTGTAATCCCTTTGAGGCTCCATTTGTTGAATGAAATAAATTTTTCTGGAGTTTGTATTCATTGAAATTCTTTGTGAGATTTTTCATCTTTTCTATAAGCTTCCGCTACGTCACAATGAGTGAGAGAAGCATGTACCTGTACAAAGTCTTGCCAATCCATACATCAGTTGCGCCACAGTATTGCTCTATGTAAAATCTAGCCTCCACCCGGGGTAAATCAGCATACCATGGTAATTCAAGCCCTTTGGTTATCTGCAGAGTTTTATGGCAAACAAATAATTTCACTTCGACACAGCCAGAAATGTAAAGTGTAATTTATTTTTAAAAAATAAAAAAGAGGTTAAATTTATAGTGGTCTTTATACAGAAATTGGTTCGGTACCTCATCATAAAGTCCATCAGATATTACCCATTTATCTACGAGTTGACGAGATGCCAACTTTTCTTGTAAAAAGGTGTAGGAGAATTTCTTGGCTTCTTCAAGAATTGTTTCTCCAGGGAATTGAACTTGAGAAGCCCTGTAGAGATTGAATATTGGAGTTGCAGATTCAATCATTTGACCACCAAAGCAAGAAAATTTATTGTCGTTCTTGAAGTGTGTGAAAACATCTGCAAAAAATAGACACTCAGTTAAGGAGTATTTTCAAAAATGTGTACAATTAAGGATGCGAGTTGAAAAGCGTCCAATTTTCAAATTTAATACTAAAGTGTCTATTATGCCTTTAATGAAAAAAAAAAGGACATTTGAATCTCTACGTATTCTCGACATTTGAATCCCATTTTATATTTTAATATTACACACGTCAAATCACAATATTAAATGTTCTCGACATTTCAAAACGTCATTCTCGACATATTAAATGTCTAGAATGACATTTCATTTCAAACATGACATTTCTCTACACTTGAAAATGTCGTTCTCAACATTTCTGTATTAATGCAAAAAATAGCATTAATTGTGATTTGACATCTTGTCATTTGCTATAAATGGAGCAGGTTATGTGTTAAGATTTCATTAGCCCATATTTTTTTTTTGCAAAAATTTCCATTTTATTGTCCTTGAATGGAATCATAAATTGTTGACCACGGGTATTTTGGTCTAAAACATACCAAAATGGCCATTTTTGTAAGGATTTTTGAAAGTTGCCATTTTTGCAAGTGGCTGCACATTTCTTGCAATTTCCACTTAATTATTACTTGCTTTTTCATCCGTTTGAGATCAGGTCCGGCTCTCCTCTTTAGCTACAACTCTATTTTCTGCTTTGATAATTCATGTTTTTCAATTTACAGAAAAAAGAAAAATGAGAGATGGGTGCTCCTAATCCTACCGGGGTTAACACTAAATCCATGCAACCTTAGAAGCCTGAAACCCATGGACGTATCATCGATATCACAAAATTCGGAATATCTTGCACTGAAAATTCCTTCGTCAGTCCAAAATCTATAAGAGCAAATTCCATAATCAGTTGCCATAGAGATGCAAGATGGTTAAACCCGTGTTTGACAACCATTAAAGCAAAACTATTTTTTTCTTGAACTCATTTTCAATAGCACATTCTCATGATAAATCCATATTTTTTCTCACGTTTTTAAATACAAATTCTCCAAAAAAATCACCATTCTGAAATTCATTTTAATGATTGTCAAATAGGGGCTACGTATCTTTGTTTACTTATTTTGTTTCTTACCTGTAGACATAACTTAAAAGGTCAGTAATTTGTGACTCGAAAAAGCGGGAAATGCCCAGGCGTTGTAGTCGATCAACAGCCCAAAGTCGTGGGAATAAATCAACTGGATATGAATTTGGCGCTGAGGAATGAAAAATAACATGAGAGAAAAATAAAAATAATTTTTCTATTAACTCGTCAAACGAGAGTGATTTTGAGGTAACCTAAATTCAGGTAAGTAAAAACTGAATTCTTAATTTTACCTCCTCCATTAAATGTTTTCACAATATCATCCAAATATCTGAAACAGTTATCATCTTTAGTCTCCATCAGTGCAAAGGCCGTGGAGGATGGAGAAGTTAGGAATGAACCCAGTGGAGTTTTCAGCTTCAGGAGCTTTTTCCAGTCCAAATCTTGTAATCCTTCCAAGCTATATAGAAGAGATGTTTGTACTGTGTGAATCAGGTCTATAGGTATCCTGTAAAATTAATAGGCCATACTGTTATGCACAAAATCATATATAATGCACGTATCTTCAGAGAAAAAAACTAAACAAATAGGAATTATGCTTAGAAAAAAGACGAGTATTCCTTGGTCAACATAGTAGCAAATCAAAGCTATTACCTTTTCATTTTCCGGTCTCTTGCAGCATAAATCTCATTTAAGACAGGAGCATCATAAGGAATATTGTCAATGCCTAAGTTTTGGGCTCTTTCAAGAAGAGCTGGAAATACAATTTCAAATCCACAGGTCATGTTTTCTTCATCTGCTGTTTCAAGCTTGTGTATATTTTCTTGGATAAATGCTATCCCTGAAATAATACTAAGTCATTCATTAGCCGAATGTCCCAAATTTAAGAAGCCTGCGTTACAATTTTTTTTTTTTGTAACTCCTTGAGTAATTAGTACCTTTTTCAATTTTTTCGGGATGAAGGTTCCATGATCTCAGCGCAACTACACATGCTAGTGTACTGACTAGCCGATCATATGCTAAGAAAAAATGTGCATCACCCCATGAGCCATCTGAGAGTTGATTTTCGGCAATCCATTGAAGACTTGATGGGAATTGAGGAAGATCAAGTCCATGGAGATTCCTAACAAGAGCAATCCATGCCGTGTCATAGGGTGAAAGGCTTGTTCGTCCTTCTCCGATAGTGTCCAACATCTCCTTAATGTAATCAATGTCCCCCTTCGCCACAGTTACCATATGAAATCATATAATTATGTTACGACACTCATACTGATGAATAATCAGGTGGCATCGACAGCCAAAATCAGTAATAGCACGAAACTTCTTTAGATTGGGTATTTCAATAAGATATATAAGAGAAAGTAAAGATTTTTGGGTATCAAGTCTTATCATCACATTCTTTTATATGAGTCCCTCACATGTTGAAGACTAAAGAGTAATGGTAGTAGCACCCAATGGCGAAAGAAAAATTTAATGATGATTTAGAATTGAAAATTTTTTTCTCACCTCCATGGCTTCTCTATTCTTCCGGACATCCATTTCATGTAGTGGTGACAAATTTACATTGTCTGTTATAATAAATAAATAAATAAATGTGGTTATTGAAGTAGATACTTGATGAATGTTGTTTTGTACAATTGTTCCATTCAAATAAAAACATACCGCGATGGACTACTTTCAGAATGCGTTTTCGTTTGACATGGTAACTATTCAGTGGTAAATCTTCATTCCCAAGCAGTGAAAGCCCTACAAAACATGTTTTACTGTTAATTCGATTACTCAAGTCATCTTAATTCGCGCCCATATTAAACAAAGAGAGTGATTCTTTTTATATTGTCAAGAACCTGAAACATTTTCTATATTTACAACAATACATCCCAGTAAGAATTAGGGAAATAAATAATCCAGAACTTACCAGTTAAAATTTCGTTAGAAGGGCCTAGCTTTACAGAAAATGGTGTTTTGTGAGGAACTGGCGGAAAAAAATGAAGCTGCGAAGCCAGCAAAGCCTTCATTATATGAGTTAGAAAGAGTGAAAGAAAAATGTAGATAATATTCAATGATATATTTGGGCTACAATCCATTACATTTATAGGCAATATACATGCTGAAAGACTCCAAAGTATACTTTTCTACTTTTGTATAAAAGTTAGCGTTCAAAGACGTGAGAATTTGACCTAAATCAAAAAATGGTTCGAACTTTTGTTCCAAGTTGAGGCTTTTGCTCGACCAAAAAATTTAGGCTCCGACTCGAACTTTCAACTTAAGCTTTTTTTTAAAAAAAAAAATCTTTACAATTTTTTTCTTTTTTAAATTTTAAAATTTTGAATGCATGTCAAAGCAGCTACTGCTGCCTTAAAGCAACATACATAGCTGCTCTAAAATGGGGCTTGGTCTGAGCTGCGGCTCGATTCTTCCGATCCACGAGCTTGAACGCTCGAGCCGACGAACCAAATTTACACATCTGCCTAGAATTGAATGTCCTGATTGAGAGTCAGCCATATTCCAAGAAAATCTAGTCATAGCCTATTCTGGAATGTTGGAATTTATATCGAAGTCTTTAGACTTTGTATACTCAATCGAAAGGGACAGGTCAAAGATACCAATTTTGATCATCACAATTGGGAGGGAATAGGAATTGTGCAACTAGGCAGTGGACATTTCTGTATAGTTATATATGTCGAGTAAGAAAACCTTCATCATACCATGCCCCAGCCCCATTATTTCACATTATATTTTTCTCTATATTATTTTCAACCACGCAATCTTTCAGAAAATAATATTACAAGTTTTTTTTCTTTTTTTCCAACCACACTTTCTCCAAAAACATATAATTGAAAAATTGATAAACCAAATAGAGGATAAATAGATTCGCAATTGATAATCAAGACTACACTTCTTATCTAAACTAACAATAAGAACACTAATACAAGTAGTTAAATCTGATTATATTAACTTGTAACCCATCATGTGTTCAATAAATTGAATATGTTAAATGACAATCTAATCAAGGAGACAAAATTTCACCAACATGACACAACAACAACAAAAAAAATGACAAATAATCGAAACAAATACAAATCCTTAAATATACATATTAAATGATATATTCACAAATCAAATGATATTCAACAAGATACACATATCAAAAGATAGTTGATCAACTATCTAACAGTCAAAAAAAAAAAAATTTGAAATAAACTGACAATACAAAACCATCTAGTTCCCTTTCTTTTTTTCCTCGCTTAATGACATGTCTAATCTATTGATTTTAAACAACGTCGAGGCAATGTCCATCCTCGCTCTACTAGTATTAAATGGCATCGGCATGTTCACAAGGTCGTTGTGGAGTAAGGTTAAATTTCCATTCATGCATAGAATAATTGGACCTTTCCTGCATAGAATAATTGGATAAGCATAACGTCAATCATGACTGAATCTTTTTTTAATATTAAAAATTTAAAATCAGATGGGTATCTCTTGAACAAAATAGTAAAAGAGTAAATTCGTATTTTCTCTGTGCATTTGGAACTTCTGAATCATGATATTGTCATTGACATTTATGTACAGAAAAGTATTACATTTTGTTAAATATTTTTTAACGTTGTGGATTGTGGAAGATGCTAATTGGCTAGAGTCGTCGATACCTTAAAAACGACAATGATTGCAAAGTTAAATACTCCTAGGCGATCGATAACGGAGTAGGATCTTGAGATAAGTGCGACATATAAGATAAAAAGGAAAAAAATAAAAAACAAAATACTTTACAGCTTTTAAAACAACACATGAACAAGAAAAGACATGCTACAAACAATGATTTTGTTTTAGTTTTCTGCCGACACAAGTGAAAAAATATCAAAGTAGCCACCAACCCCCCTTAGAAAAATATATAATTTTTTTTTTTTTTTTACCGATCAAAAAAATATATATAATTTTTATAATGCTCCAACAAAAACTGGAATTTTGCCTCACCACCACTATGTCTCCAATTTGTTCAGTCGAGATTTGTTTTATAGATTTATATTCACTGGGGTTCTCTCCCGTTGAACCGTCAGTTTTAACGTTGTTGTATCGTTAATCACTACTGCACATGATGGGACTTCCATCCAACCTATTGATTCTTGAATTGTTAAAATCAGAATTCTTTTTTTTTTTTTAACCTGAAAAACATATATATGTGATGAAGAATTCTCAGGCAAATAGTATGTTCTTGTGACAGTTTCCATTATTGGCATTTCTGATGTCACCCGGTTAAAACACGTCATTAATGTAGTTAGATCTGGTCTGTACAACAGTGGATTTTCTTGGGTTTTTATGGCTAATATTCTTCTTCAGTCTGTATCAAAAATGCAGAAAATAACAAACTATTTTTTTCAATAAGAACACATATTGAACATGACTATCATTAAAAGTTGATTATGTTTTTCATAGTTAAATCTCAGAGATATTATTATATTTTGCTCTCAATCTTGATTTCAAAATAATTTCTTACTCAAAAGTAGTTATCTATTTGAGTTACAATGATTGACGCCAATTCAAAGCCAATGAAGTACACAAATGGATATGAGAATATAAATGGTGTAACTACGAATTGATCGTTTGTTTTGAATAAAAATTAGATTGATGAAATGTATAAAGAAAATTAATAAAAATTATGTGTTTCATTAAATGTGTGATTAAAATGAATTTTTAAAAAAATTAATTTTATTTCGCTGTTTTAGATTTTTTATTTTAATATTAATTATTTTGCTACATATTTTTATTAATGTTGCCTCCTAAAGTGGCATCTTATTATTAACCATTTTATTCGAAATTAGTGTTTTCTTTTGAAATTAACGAAACATGTTACATAATGTGATGGATTTATTAAAAAATAATAATAATAGTAATAATAATAAGCAAATTGGATTGTAACTAGATGATGAAGACAAAATAATAACTTGATTTAATTTCGGGTTTGTTCGTTTTTGACGAATTGCTAGTCTAATTTGAGTGGAAACGGGCCAATGATCACAACTCAGGGCCTTTGGCCCTGAAACACGTCAAATTTTTGGCAAATTCCATCGTTTAGGCCCTCAATTATGCGTTTTTGCCGTTTATGGTAATTTTTGTTTTGGCAATATATTAGTCAAATAAACTCGGATTTGATTTCCGTTTGTTGGGGGACGATCCTGATGATTAGGAGAATCAAGATCCGTGATTATCTCAATTTTTTCCATTTTTGGAAAAAATAATATTTTTTATTATTATGTAATTTCTTTCCGAATTTTATTAGGGTTTCGCTATTTAAACGTTGTAAACCTTTTGAGGCAGCTCAGTTTTGAATGAAATAAAGTTTT